CACTGCAGGGTATATTGTCAGTTTAATTTCTTCATTTAGTTCCTTCTGCTTCCCATAACACTGCTTTCGAATCACAAGAGTATATGGGAGTAGGATATGCCAGCTGGCTTTGCAGTTTTTTGTACACACAAAACTCCTGCCTTCAAATGAGATTAACCTTCAAGCAAAATTAAGATACACACAGCACACTGTAGTGGAGGAGAAGCCACCAGCATACAGCACCTAGGAAATGGACAAATACAAGGTGTGCTTCACTCTGGTACTCATAGATTTGTATTAAAGTTTTCGCTATGACAAAAGATTGTTTAAAAAAAAAAAGTATGGAGAGGCATGTAGGTAAGCTTTTACCAGGGAAGGAGGGTCATACAGAAATGGATTGCCTCCTGCCACTGCTAAAGAATAAAAATGTGTCTTAAGCTTCAGGGCAAAACACTGAAATCACAGTGTATTTGAAACATCAGCAGTGTTTCAGGAGTATGATGCTATCTATATTCTCTGAGTACCTGTCCTGGTGAGGCTGAGCTTCCTTTTCTTACTCAGAATTATACATTTAATCTGATAATAATTTTCTGCTTGGGAAATACAACCTATCTATTTTTTTTTAAGAAACAGACAATAACAAAACAAATCCTCATTACCAAGCAGAATGATTGCACACTTATTTTCATGGTTTCCCTAGTATCTTCCAGTTCTTTCTCCTGGGGCAAATCTAGGCCAAGCTCTTACAAACTTTCCCCGTTGAACAGGGAAGAGCACATTGATTCTTTATTGCCATCTAGTGACCACAGCTATTTCCACTTTCACACAAACTGGGTTACAGATCTGGGGACTTCCGAAACCAACGAGAACCAAAGAAGAAGGAAGCTTGCTTCTCACCCTTAACTTCATGCTACCCTATCTATATCCCTTATGGACCCTCAGATTTGCAATAAGTGTAGGCCACTGCTGCTTTCATACAGTCCTTTATCTGTGCAAATTAACAGGTCCCTTACCCTCCCTCTAGAGCTCAGCAATTTAGAAAAAGATGAATAGACTTGTTTTGTCTCCAGGAGCTCACAGAGCTTGGGAACAGGGGTCACCTTGCTGGATAGGGTAAGCACAGCACCTCCAGGACCAGGGTAACATTTGATGTAGCTGCAACAGCCATTTCCTCACCTTGGGAGAGGAAGGAGTCAGATGTTTTCAGGCGTCTTCAAGATCCTTCAGAGAAGTATTTTCATTTGGCTCATATTTTCTGGGGGCTTACAAGTGGCTCTCTTCTTGCTGAGTCAAACTCCTAGCAGCTAGCTCTCATATCCGCACACAGGGCACCGAAGCATGCCACAGGAAAACTTTAGGAGTGCTCCAGTCCTTGGACACTTGGCTTGCTGGTTTCTTTATCCAGAAGCTGTTGTCTTTAGCCTAGCTGGGAGCCTGAAGTTATTAAATACTGAATGGTAGCAGTGCCAAAGTCTGTGTAGCCTCGGAGCAATAGCATAACCATGAAGTGCTGCTGTGCAGCCCGGGAGCAGGATGGACACGCTGGCAAGGCAGCACCTGGTTCTCCTCCTCCCTCCAAGGCCCAGGTCTCCAGCATGACGTGGTTTAGCTCATGCCAGTACCACCAACAGCCACACGATGACACTGCAGCAGAGTTCCGAAATAAGCCCTGCTGTCCTTTTTAGAGGAGAGGAAATACTATTTTTTTAATAAGCTAGGCCTTCTCCCCACCCACCCCTCCCAAAAAAAATAGGGGGTGTAAGGATAAAGCTGGGCTTGTAAGTTTTGTGACACCTTTCAGACACAGCCACTTTGGTCCCCATCTTGCAGTACAAGATGTGACCCCATGGCTGTCCCGTGCTGTCAGGCTAACCCATGATGGAGCGTGGCATTAGTTTGCAGCTGTCCTGTGATAACAGGGCTGGTGTGAGCACCATCCCCTTACCTGCCTGTTCCTGCCCATTTGTTGTCCTGTCTGGTCAACTGGGCTGTTTCCAGGTGCAAAGCATCTTCCTTTGCATTTGGGCAGCAAAGCTTTCAAAGTTCCTTTTCAAAAAGGATGAAAATGTTTTCCTGTCTTTCTCTGTATAAAGATTTAGATTGTGGAGCATGAGCTGCCTGCCCAGTTTGTCTCCAAACTTGTTTTACCCATTTACTGCGGACTCTCTTCAGACCATGTTATGTTTCCGAGCTCTCTTCAGACTTCGAAGAACAATAAAAAAAGGGTTCCTGGGAGGCCTGGTAAGTCCAGCTTTGCTGGAAGCTGTACAGACCTCAAAATACACAACAGAGTGACAAAGCTTATGCTTGTGTGGAGATCATCAAGTCCATTGCTGTGATATGTATCAAAGAATAATAAGAATACTAAACTATGTGAAAGTCTAATGAGTGCAGAATAAAAGAGGATAAATTTATGCATAGAGTGATATGGCTTTAACAGACATGCTTTCACAGCCCTTTCCTCCGCCCCCAAATACAGAAAATTCTGTTTCATAGCACCATGTTCAATGTTAGACCTGCTTATCAGAAATTCAGACAATTTTTTAAAAGCTTAAAATAAACCTCAGTGAGAGCGCTGTCTTAGACTGTGTTTGAAAATCCCTTCTTAAATGTGGTCAGAGTACTCCTGCAAGCTTTCAAACGCAATTCACTAGACACTAATCAGCAAAACCTCTGGGACAGACAGGGAGTGAAGTTATGCACTCTTGGCCTTTGAGTAGCAGAGTTTCAGATTCAGATTAATGAGGTCTGAACGCATGTAGGAAAAGCTGGTGATTGTCACAAAAGCCTCTATGCTGCAAAGGTTAAGGGAGCCTCAGAAGTCACTAACACTTGTCAGGCCACATGACCAGCGGCTGTCACACTAACAATGTAGCCCAGTGGTTACAAGGCTGGAAGTATCTACTCTTGGAACGTCCGTTGGTGCATTTCAGCTCAGTCTTGCCCATATAGATATGCCCACGATATGCATAAATGAGCCTGGACCCTTGCTGAATCATTGAGAGAGTTTATGAACCCGGCCTGACTTCGCATCCCATGTGTGCTTGTGCATAAATGCTGCAGATATCAACAAACTTGGATCTGAGAAGGGAGATGTTACTCAAATTATAGGTCAGCACATGTACATTAGTTCCAGCCATCAGCTTGTAAGATTGAACGCTGCTAAAAGTGGATGAGAGGAAAATGGCACCTTGTAGTAAAACTGTTCTGTTAACATGTTCTAGTGTTTATTGATGTAAGATGCCAAGCCGCAAAGGCTGCTTCACAAATGTTCACGACATTAGCATAAAGCATCCACTCACTCTTCATGTTTAACTTTTCCATCATGGGGCTCTATCAGTTTCCATTTGTATATGATAACCCCCAGTTATCCTTGGATGTGTCTCCAATCTCCCAAGACTAAGCTGTTCGTGCTAGCCCTAGGTTCAGTGGTTTACTGAAGTGAAGGAGAGCAGGTTTTAATGTTTTTTAATTTCACTGGGCTACATTGTGAGTGTGACAGCGGCTGGTCATGTGGCCTGCAAGTGTTAGTGACTTCTGAGGCTCCCTTAACCTTTGCAGCATAGAGGCTTTTGTGACAATCACCAGCTTTTCCTACATGCGTTCAGACCTCATTAATCTGAATCTGAAACTTTGCTACTTAATTTTTTTTAACTTCACTAAGGCCTCAGCTCTCAGTGAGGGCAAGGGGAACTGGTGGCACTCAACATGACAAGGAATTCTGAATTTCTTACTTCCTTCTCTGCCCCAGAACAAACATTTTTTAATAAGCTGCTCTCCTTGCTGAAGCGGATGGAAAAAGTACATTCCTAAGGCAAGCTTACACAGAAATACTTGAAATGACAACAGCTGTTGAGCGCCCATCACTCTTACAGTTTTCTGGCAAAACCTTTTAAATGCCTCTCTTGATAAGGAATAAAAATCTGAGTCACTCTTTGTTCTTGATCCAGAGTAGCAAGTCACTTTTATTTGTCGATAAAGCTATCGCACTTTCAGTGCCTTTTGCTAAAGCTAAGCTGAAGCTTCAATCTGAAGATCTGCCTCTATTTCCAGATTTAATCATGAGTGCTGTAGAAAGAGTCTTCTGTAAAACAAAAAAAGCCCAGTTATGAGTGTTTTTAAAGTTTCAGTTTTACAGCCTTCCTATGTCATCACTCAGTTGAACAATATAAAAAAACCACAATGCAAGTCAAATAATCCGTGTAATTACCATGTACTTACTTTTATTTCAAGACTAGAGTCCTGTAATTCAAAATTAGACAAACCCCCTATTTCTCACTTCGGTGCTTTCTCTCTTTAATTTACCAGGAGAGGAAAGTTTTACAGGGAGAAGTAATACCTCATTTACTGAACCAAGTAGAAAAAGGACAGATTGAGAACAACTGCTTTCAGTTTCACTTAATTAATTGGACTGAGAGGAAACGATACTGCTCAGGAATTGAAAAGCAGAGGGGGATGTTAGCAAAGAGAATTGTTAAGATTCACAACCTGTCTGGGACAGGGTGAGGAAAGATACTTACTGCCTATGGATCGGTGCAAGCTCAACTGGAGGTATTGTCTGGCATAATTATAACAATGCTTCTACTGAATATGCAAGTTTTACTATGGAGAAAAAATAATTTTACTTCTTGTCTTCTGAAACTATTCTTTAAGTCTCCATTCAGTGTTGGAGCAGACAGACCTGGGACATCTTGGTCCTGTGAAATTTTTTGTGCTGATCTCTGCTTACAGTAGGGAAGGTACTGCACTGTTCATAGTAGCGTAATTTGAGAGGCACAATACCTGTTACTCTGAGTCAAGAGTGTGAAAACACACTGGCTCTGAAGCAATGCTTGCTTAATGCAACCTCATGGGAACCCACTATGTGTTGGAGTCTAAAGAGCTTTGTGATATTCTGAGTATTAGCTTTTCTAGATGCACTTCCTCTGCAAAATATCCTATTGTTCCTATTAACCCAATGTAGAATAATCCTGAATGATGAATTCTTTTCTAAATTTCTGAAATCCTGCAGTGCTTTTTTCTCCATGGCTTGATTTTTGTTTCATCCCAGCATTTTTCAAAGATGTCAAACGCAGACATTTGATCTAGAAAAATAAATAACAGTCATATCAGAGGATAATTTAACATTATATTCAACATACGATCATATTCAGTAGGTGGGATGGATGCACTTGACCCCTTAACCAGACTGGTGGTGGTTTGGTGCAGGCTCTGGAAGAGCCGGGCTGTGAACTCCTCTAGTTTCAATCTGTTCTCTGAGAACCCACAAAGGAGCCCAGTGGCACAGTGAGCATCGATGCATATGAGGTTAGAACACCGATCATGCAATTGACACATGAATAGCAGGTGGCTTTTCTAAGACTTATTTATCAAGGAACAACAAAAGTTGTGGGTACAAGGAGTCTCATGCATACCTTTGCCATCGCACGTAATTTGACTACAAGCCAACCACTTTATCTCATAAATATGACAGCCTATTGAGCTCTCCCTGCAAGACAGCGTGGCTGCATGGCGGTGATCTCCCCCTGAGCTGGGACACCTCTCAAGGTCACTCCTCAAGGCAGAGAGAACTTTTACCAACGGCAGATCTTTGGTAAGCAACCGATATTGCGCATAACCTTGTAGTATGCTAACTTTGATTTTGCCTTGGTAACTTTGATTGCATGCTGAATGGATGGTAATGAAACATTACATAAAATTTGCATGTATAATCCCTTAGACATAAACCATTGACCAAGTCGGAGAGGAGGTTTGGCCCTAGCCACACCTAGACTCCTCTCTGAGGAGGAGTTTAGAAAGCAAGGGGGTCCACTCTGAACCTCATGACTCAATGGGAGGGTCCTCCTTATCCTTTTGCGTCTCTGGTCTGTGAACCATTCCAACTCGAGTGTAACTCAATTTTCCTTTGTATGTTTCTTCCACGTAGTAATTTAATAGAGTGAACCTTGCCATCAAACTTTGTTAAATCGCACTTTTACAACATCATATTAAAACCACTTTTTCTAATACCCTTGACGGTGATTCTTTAAGTGATCTAAATCACTCATCCGCGACAAATTGGCGTAGTCGGCAGGATCCTAAATCAGGGTTCCGCGACAGTAGGGAGGCAACTGGGCCCCTTTGCTGGGATGGAAAACTATCTAGAGCTCCATCTCTGATGCAGCTGAGATATAATCATACTATTTGCTTAGCAGGAACAATATCAGCCTTCAGCAAACAAGGGCAGTTGCTGAAGACTTTCCAGGATTTGAGCTTAAAATTAATGGCTTGAGTCATGGTTATTATTTTCTTAAAACTCAAGCAGACTATAGGCAATGGATCTTGTTTGTGTAGATGTGAGCATCAGTAGTCAATAGAATTAAAAAATTGCAGGCTTTAGAGAGAGTGTGTACCTATGGCCAGCATTTCAAGAAGCTACGGAATCCAGAAATGGGCACTGGGACCCCAGGCAGTGTGGAGATAAGTAGTGACTCTGTAGGTATGGCCCTTTGCATGTAGGAGGCTGAGTCCAATGTGTCACTTCTCACCTCGTGTTTCCGAAGGGTTGGAAGCAGCAGAAGAATGTTGCAATGGGCACAGGTCACCAGCATGTCAAAAGACTGGGTGTCTTTAAGAGCTTGAGGTGATGTGGAAAGTCCACCTCTTGTGGGAGAGGGAAAGCCAATCTTTTTGTTCTTTGGGGGTTTAAGCAAGGTTTTGGAGGTCAATGGCCTTTCTTTCCCTTTGGGACGGACATCTTTCCATGCCATTGCATTCTTGGGGCAAGAAGAGGGAGCCAGGGAGGAAGAAGACTGTGGTGGATCACTGCTGAGTTTTGAAGTTGACTGGCCAGCAAGAACTTTTGTCAGCTTATGGGCTGTGCTGCATGTATTCTGTTAAAAGAGAGCATGCATGATGAGGTGAAGATTGGCATTACACCCAACTGTGTGGTATGTTGTGATTTGCGACAGACGTGAGTCATGGGGAGGGACAATGGACACCACCTCACCATTCACCTGGCTTCAGCTGAGTACATTGTATCATGAAACTATAGTTTGAAGAGCCAAGACACACTGCCCTTATGTAATATATAGCTTTTCAGAGAAATAACCTGGAAATTAAGCACAGACCATTCTCTTGTTCAGTTTCAAATGTGCTTACCAGATGTTGGGAGTACTGGTCATCTGGGAATGACTTATTGGACTTCCGACAGATTGCCACCTTCAGAAGGAAAAAAATTGAGAGAAAACACAGTACTGACACTAGTCATCTAGACAGGCTGCTCAGATCCACTTATGGTCACTGGTTCTAGAGAAACACAGAATGCTGATTCCACTGGCCAAGAAGGAATTAGAGCTGTGACTACATTTTGCTTTTGGCACCACTCAAAACCAGCCCACCATCCCTTCTCGCAAACTTTAGGATATTTGAAATTCCACTCCAGCCCCATGTTTTGTGGTTCAAGATGCTTCACTCCTACCCTGGCCTAGCTAATTCTGTTGCTAGGGGGTTTTGCTCTCTATAATTCATTTTGCCAACTACTGCACCTACTGATGCCTGTTCTTTTCTGGAATCATTGACAGGATTAATGAATTTTTTGTCTTGACATACTCTGTCCAATACCTTAGGCCTAATAAAGCTGATCTCAACTTCAAGAAATCAAGGTATGCATCACTGGCTTTATATATGAAGTAGGAGGAAATTCTAAATCATATTTTCTTCAGTGCAACAAATAGAAAGAGGAACAAGTTCCACCTATTTTCTGACAGAAGGAATTTCACTTCCAGGATATATGGGAGGCATAAAAGAACATGGCCAATGAGCTACCAGTCAGTGGAACCACTCTGGCTTTACAATAACCAGCATAATAGAAAGCAACATATGGCCTTTTCACTGTGGTTGGTTAAACAACAATCCCCTCCAGTCTGAATTACTGAGAATTGTAGAGAAGGCAGGAGAATTTTCATTGAGATTTAACAGAGTTGACCCAGTCCATGCTTACCAGTGGGGCAAATAAATGTTGCATTAGGGGATGCTTCACTGGTTTGAAAGTTCACATCCTTATGATAGGACAGATCACTGTTCTGACAAAAATCTTTGTGTTTGTTCTGGTTTTTGTACATGATGCATTTGTTACACTCCCAACACCACTCTGTTCGGATGGCACAAGTGTTCAGGTGTTCCTGCAGCTTGTTGAAGGGCATTTCAAGCTCACAGATCTTGCATTTTGTTGCTCATTTGTGGCATTCCTTGGTCTGCACATGAATAGAGGAAATTATTGCAAATTTTCTATCACTACTAAAAGAGGGCATTGGGTGAGAGCAATGAGTGACTGTTTAAGAATGCCCTCTTTAAGGGGCATCTACACAACCAAATGCAGGCTTAGCTGTATTAGGAGTTTATCTATCTAATCTAGGCTATCTTTAATTTAGGATGATTTCAGCAATATGAGGAAAAATGGGAACCAATAGCAGTGAAGATGTTCTGTGTCAGTACAGGTTAGCAACAGAGCACAAGCCCACCTAGAAAATCCCAATACTTCAGCTACCACCACCAGGGGAAGCCTGCTGTATCTTCACTGCTTTGGTTCCTTGGAATGGTTAGACTACAGCCAGCATGGACAGGCTGCTCTCACTTCCCAGCCTCTGCCAATTCTTTTGTGTTCTCCCCTTAGCTGTTTCCTTGACTCTCGCTTTGTATAACCGCTCCTTTGGAAAAGCAGGTAATATGAGTGTGGGGGCAGGATGGAAATGTCTTTGAGAAGCCATCAAAGAACATCAGCTTGAGATGCCAAGGATGAGAAAGTAATAGATTATCTCCTGGAACAGATTGTCCCATCACAACTGGATGGGCAACCACCATGGGATATACTTATTTACAAGGGGGAAAAGGTATGCCAAAACACTGCAACCGTTGAGAAGTTTAAGTTTCTTCATGGTCCAGGACAGGAGTCAGGGATTTACATGTTTTCGCTGCTGAATCCATTAGTGTGACTCTTGGTCAGCCTAGAAGGTAAAAAGTACTGCACTCCATACTTACCTCATGATGCTCCAGCTGGTATTGCTGCATGCTTTGGTGACAAAGATTACATCTGACCGGCAAGCAAAACATACAGCAGTTCATTGGGAGCATAGGAGAATGGTTAATGCTTTCGTATGTCAATACAACTTCAAGCTGCTGAGATGATTTTCTTGTCATTTTCATCCCAATCATCAACAAGCTGTTGGTGAATTTTTGTTTCTCTGTCAGGCCTGAGCTTTGTTGATGCAATTTTGAGGAAAACAGGTATCTGATGATTCTGCAGGAAGCTGTGCAAGGATCCAGTTCTCAAAGATGCCCATGTGAAATGCAAAGTATGATATGAAATAAAGAGTGTGTATTCAAAATTTTGACTGAGGTTTAACTTAAAAGTATAGGTCCAATATTCAGCTAGTCTAAATTATAATAGCCCCTCTGAAAACATAGGAGGTATGCTAGTTTTCTATAGGTTTGCCACGAGAGCTACTTATGTGTTCTGTTAAGTAACTGAAATCAATGGAATTGCTAAAACAGTAAAACTAGTAAGACAGAATAAAAAATCATGCCTGTGTGTTCATGCTTCAACATAGTACCTCTAGCTACAGGGTTCTTAATGCTATACTAAAAATGCTATTGCCTCACTATATGAAGAGCTGATAAATTTACTCTGCCAGTTCAGTTTTGTTAAAAAAGTGCATTGATGTAATACAGCTTTGTACAAGCAAGGTTTATGTCAGATCAGGTACTGTCTGTCTTCCCCTAACCAAATCATTTAACTTGCATGCTCTGGCTAATTCACAAGCACTAGGAGCATGTATCCATACTTGATCTGCAATTTGTATTGCTCGGGAAACTGAGACACCACAGCGGAAGCTTTATTCTCTTAAGCTGAGTGTGCAGTAATATCAAAAGGTGCTGTAACCAGGCCTGAAGGGTCATATCAGACCCTTACAGAAGTTCAAATCTAGTTAATATAGAGCACAGTACCATAAACATACTATTTCAGGGCTGGCAGAGCTTTTTGCTATTTGCAAGAAAACCCTGAAGAACGTGTAGCATTCCTCACCTGCTTGTGTGCTTCTGTTTGATGGTCTTTCATATCCTTTTGGGCAACTGGTTCATCACATTCTGGACAGACAGTAAGAAACCACAAGCAGTGGGCCTCATGGAGTGAGAAATTGGCAGCAGACACATCTCGTTTACTACCGAGCACATAAATGGGAGAGGAGAGTAAATGAACTGGTGTGGTGGGTTGACCCTGGCCAGCAGCCAAGCACCCACACAGCTCTCACTCACCACCACCCCACCAGACACACAGTGGGACAGGGGGAGGAAATAGGAAGAACAGAAGTGAGAAAATTTGTAGGTTGAGATGAAGACAGTTTAATACCTGAAGGAAAGAGGGGGGAAAGAACCAAGTGAAGCAAATGAGATTACTCACCACCTCCCACAGACATACCTATGCCCAACCAGTCTTTAAACAATAGCCACCTTGGAAGCAAAAAAAAGGCAAAAAACAAACCCTGTTCTTCTCCCTCTAATGCAGTTTTTATTCCTGAGCATGAGGTTACACAGTATGGCATATCTGTTTGGTTAGTTTGGGTCAGCTGTCCTGGCTATGTCCCCTCCCAAACTCTTGCTCATCTCCAGCTTACTCACTGGTGGGGCGGGCAGAGTGGGGAAAAAGAGAAAATCTTGACACTGTGCAAGCACTGTTTAGCAAAAGCCAAAACATTGGTGTGTTATCAACACTGTTTTAGCCACAAATACAAAACACAGCACTGTAGGGGCTGCTGTCAAGAAAATTAACTCCATTCCAGCCAGCCAGAGTACAACTGGTTATAATTCAACCAGTTTGTCCCTAAAAACTAGAAATAAGTATTTGTCTTTCCGATTCATCTTAATGAGACATTTAGAGACTGGGTTCTGCTACTCATTCTGTTCTGCCGTATTACCAGGAATACTTCTGAAAGGGACAGGGCAGCTGCTGGAGGCTCCAGGTATATTTGTCCAACAATTGTTTCAGGAACAGCTCCAGCTGTTGTTTACATTGTGGAAAGAAAAGAAGGGTCCCTCTTCTGAGTGTCATCTAGGGCATCACAAAATTTACAGCTCTTTGGCTCTCAGCAGACCAATTTAAAGTCCAGCCAAGCAGCTGCTCTGTTCAGATGCAGGCTACTTCTGAGCTGAGATGTCACCATGCTCAGTGGGTTCAGGAAAGGCCACTTAAGTTTATCTGGGAAATCACTTATTTGATTTTAATAATTGATGTTTTCACAACATTACTGACAAGAATTAAGATACAGTTCAACAGGGCTTGGTTAAGACCTCCTGAAGAAGCTTCCAGGTGCAAACCTTAAGCAGTGTAAAACTTCCATTGCTCCCCTTGAAACAGCTTCAGGATGACTGATGTGCACACCAGCTGATTTTCTGACTTCCTCTGCCAGCAGGGCCTGGGACCTGTCTTAGGATGTCTGCCTCACTGCCCTCACTTCAGGCCCTGAGACATTAGTGCGCCAGGCAACAGGAGGTGAGGTGTATCTCTGTCATTTCAAAGCCTTTACGGCAGTGGGCCCAGGACACTGCAGCAGGAGATAGTGATGCCTGACACAAGAGAGTGGTGGTCGTTAGGACATGGCAGCTGGAGGTAAGCCCATGCAACCTTTCTGGCCTACAAGAGTAGGAAGACTGCCTGAAAGGACATGCACGCTTCCAGCTCTGCTACTTCAAGGAGATGTGTGAGGCAGAATAGCTGATGCCATCTGGGCTTTCTGCGCTAGTCTTTGTTCCAAACTGTGACATCATGTCTGGATCACACAACCAGTCTGCCCAACATATTTGCTGGTCACTCAATGTGGAGGGAATGGCCAGGATGACGCCACATAAATTATGAACAGCCCAGCCCCAAGACAGAAGAGCAGCCACAGCAAAAAAGCCCTGGAGCAGTGAACTCTTCTAATTTTCTTAGAGAAGGTAAGTTGCCTCAAGGAAATCTGCTTTAGACATGAGGAGAAGCTTCTGACACCACAAAAGCGTGAAAAGTAAGGATGCTGCAGTCCTGATGCCCCTGGTCTCTAGTCAGGGCGGGTGCACCTGCCACAGGAGGGAGGCCAGCAGGCTGTGGCAGGCCGCCAAAAAAATCAGGGACGTGAGAGGTAGCAGGACACTGTCTTCATCACTGCTTCCCCAAAAGGGCGGTGGGGAGCCCTCTGGCCACCATCTCCCCTCCACGCCTGGAGTGGCAATGGCTGCGGGGAGCCCCCGGGCCCCATCGCCCCTTCCTGTCCAGCACCTGTGCTGTGTGTTGTGCAGGTGTAGCATCAGCACCTGTCCACAGAGGAACCTGCAGGGAGCATGGCAGCCCCACCTGTGAACCCACTTTTGACGGTATTTTACTGATAACCATAACATTGCAGTCTACCAGGTCGCAGTCTGGCCAGGAGCCCAGAGCGGGAGAGGAAGCACCATGAAACAAACCCTTGAGCACTGCGGTACAAACCCAGGAGGGCTGCCTTTGGGCAGCAGGCTCTGCTGGCAGCTGCCCTGTGCCCCACCATGGCTGACGCCCGTTTGGCCGCAGCCCTTGCGTGGCTGATGTCACCACAGCCATTGTTCTCTCACAGCCTGTCCAGGCTGACTGGCCGCAGGGCTGGTTTGCAGTGCGCAGGGAGGGCAGAAGCATGCTGCAGCCCCCTCCACCTCTGGAGTGCTGGTCATGGTAGTATCCAGCCTCACAAACCCACCTTGGCCTCCCTGGGGCAATGCTGTTCCACTCAGACAAAAACAGCCAGTTAGTGGAGAGGAAATATTTGCCCACCATCACCACAGGGGAGAAACCCAGCAGTGGTCCTTCAGCCTCACCTCACCAAGCCCCACAATGTGGCTGCTCAGCCTTGCCCCAGCAGACTCCCAGGCCCCACTGTTTCCCCAGTGACCCTCAGACCACTTCAGGGTATCTAAGTATCTGCAAGGTCACATCTCCAGCCTGCATTAACCAGCTTTGCCTTTTCTCCTTGATGATATTCTGTCATGGTTGGAACTGACAGATAATATTAGAGGCCCCAAGTGCAGCATGTCCTGCCTGTCACTGGACCTCAGCTGGGGGTCATACAGCCCTACATTTTTACATAGGGAACTTTAGAAGAAATGTAAGTTAGAGAGAAAAAGGAACCGAACTTCATGTTATCATTTCAATGCCAATACCAGTATCTTCAGGATTTTCTGATGGAAGGCCTACCATTTCTTGTACCTGCTACTACAACTGATCCCTTACAGCAGTATGATACAGGCAGCTCTTCTCTGATGTCATAGACCCTGCCTGATGTGGAACAATGAGATACAGGAGATGCAGAAAATATGAACTGACCTTCTTAGTCGGTAAAAAGGGGAAAATAATATTAATTCTTCTACTTTGCAGAGGTATTGGGAAGAATAATTCACTAGAATTTGCGTAATCTATTGTAATGCTGCACACAACAGATGTCCCAGATGTTACTCAGAAATTGGTGTGGTTCATTTCCCATCCAAACAAGCCCCTTCTGTCCCCCATTTTTCTCTGGGAAAAATAATAAGAAGAAAAAGGAAGCCCAATAAGCCATTATTTAGACCTGGGAATAATGAGTGTTTATCTGGATTTTGTAACACAAATTATGTAATGAAGCAGAGAAAAGGCTTTTGAACAAATATGTTAATGAGATGGCAGCTAAGAGAGAGGTTACAGAATTGGCAATTCCAAACCAAATTTTTTAATGTGATTTTCTTTTGGTTTTTTTTTTTCTTTTGTAGTCATTAGCTTGCACAGCATTTGAATGTGCTTTAGGGCTTCATGCAGACTATATGGGAAATACCAATTCTAGGTCAAGAAAGCCTGATCAGCAACACACACTGGCTGAGAAAACCCCACTGACTCAAAATTCATAATGAGGGCTTTTATGTAGAAAGTTGTTGGGCACAGGGATTGTACTGAAAGGACTGTTCGTTCAGCATCTCAAAAGATTTTCTTGGAAAAATATCAGATGCTCCACTGGGAACTTAGTTGAAAGATACTCCTAAAGCAACACAGTGGACTGGCAGTGGCTGGAAAGTACTGATTGGAGGGAAAATGGAAAGTAATGAAACAGTGATCTTCTCTGAATGCCGGTAATAACTCTTTCCATTTAAATTCTGTGTAAACCTTCCAGTGAGTAACATTGTTGTACAAGACCTCTTCTAGGCATCTTTTTAAGTCAAGCATCACGTAGAGGTAAGTTCTGAGCAAATTGGTTTTTAAATGTGATTTACAAAAGCCTGGGTAGAAGACACTTCTTTTTCTGCTAAGTCCTAGAATGTCTCAGGGTCAGTTGTTTTCATTTTTGTTTCTCAGTGTCAAGTATGATAGGTCTTACAGTCATTGTTTAATATAATTTTGTTAAAACTTTTGTACCTCTGGGTGTTGCATGGAGCCTGCAACATGAAAGAACTTAAAAAAGAATGTGAGGAGAGTTTTTGTCTTGAGAGGAACTAGCAGTTATCTAGGTCAAATGGACTGCTTTTAAACAGGCAAACTGTACTTGTGTGCTTGGAAAGCATTTGAATTAGAGGCGGAAAATATGTGTATCTGTAATTAAATGAATCAGCTGCTACCTGTAAAGCCTCCTTGCTATAGACCATTCCTGTCCAGCAATAACAGGAGTAATTGTGATGATTGGCTTGTAGTGAATAAGATATATCAGAAAAGCAGCTTCTTGGGAATGACCTAAACTATACTAAAATATTTATTTTCCAATTTTTCCACCTGGACTGATGACCCTGGAATTCCTACCTTCCAAGAGGACTTGATTTCTAGTCCCTTTCTACTACCCCAAACAATGCAGGTCAGCCTTTTTTAACTAGTCTTCAGCAGTGTCCCACTTCCGAGTGGAACTCTTTACAGTGGCTCACATCATTGAATCTGGTATCTGAAGTACAAAAGGGAAGATTGCAAGGCTCTGTGTGTGGTTTGACAATGCTGTCAATTTGCTGTCTTGAAAGGTGTGGCTGGTTCTGTCCCAGCTGTTACTGTTCCCAGCCATAAGTGGCCCAGTCTCTTGAGCTAGCTCTGGTACTCACTGAACACTTAATTGAACCTATTCAGCTCACTAACTCAGCAGAAAAATGTTCTGCTTTCTTTGTCAAGTTAAACTCCAATGAGCCCCAGAGCCAGGAGCTGGGTGGCAAGTGACCT